CTTCCTTGCAGACTTCATTAAGATATAAATGATGTTGCCCTTAATACACCACCTATTAAAAAAAGCTGTAGTCTAATCTTTTAATAGAATAAATATAATCTTAAGAAGAAATGCTGAAGAAGTCTTGTGTGATAAGCAGCTAGAGGCAAATGAAAGCTTCAGAGGTTAGGAAAAGAGCTTTTCATACTTTGTCCAAGTAACTAGCAAAAGGAGAAATGAAAGCTGTCTTCCTTAATTCTTGGTTTATCTTTAAATTTCCCTTACGTGAGCAAGATAAATATAGAGTGAAGTTCCACTAATACTAACTAAAGTTGCTCTACTTAATCCTTCCAAGTTAAGCCAGTGAGACCTGGCTCTGCAAAACAAAGACATGTGCAAGTATAACAGCTGTACAATGGTGGTGCTTCACTTAGTATTTTCTGTGTTAAACACAGAATAGGTTTTAGACAGAGTATCTCTTCCTGGGGTTGAATTTGTACCATACAAAGCAGTAATATTGTAAAATTGAGTTTCTGTGAAGAAAAAAAACACAAAAGAAAAAAGCCTATTTAATGCTTGAAGACAGTAAATACATGTGAGGCTAGAGCTATCATGCTTTGTTCCCAGAAAACTATCAATTATGGAGGAAAAACACATTAGGCGAGCATACTACTAAAGTTAAAACACTTCCATTTTAAAGGTAAATGCATCTCACAGGAAAACTTGCAATAATCCACAAATCTGAATCACATCTGAAGGCTTGAACAGAACTCTCTAGAAGGACTATTTTCCTCATTTTCGCCCTCAATTCAAAACTTTCCTCGGCTCAAAAGATTCACATCATATGACTTCTACCATTCAATAAATTTCCTTGCATTATTTCAGAAAAAGAGCAAGGAGTTGTGCCTGACCTGTAAATTAATCCAGACACTATACAAACCCCAAGTGATTGATTTAACACAACTATTTTGCAGTGAAAATGTACTGGACATACCAGACAAGCACAGAATGAAGAAAGCATAAGCAAATGATGTTCAAGAATAAGAACAACAATAAGTATTTAGAAGCGGATTTAAATAAATAATCAAGCACTTTCGTTGACATTTAAAAAAGACAGACTTCAAAGATGGATTGAACTGTTATTCAGATTCACTTACAAGATCTAATGATATAGGAAACTACTTTTCCCTACCCTTGCTCTTCTTTTTAAGCCCCTTCCTCTCAAATATTCTACTGATGTCTTAAAGATGACATTTAGGAAATCCTTGAATTTTAATTGAGAACTTGACTGCAGAACAAAGCATTTTAATTTAACCTGTTCATTCAGATTTACATGCACTATTTTTCATTATAACAATAGAGCAATAGGGCAGAGAGGATTATTTCAAAAGCAATATAGAAGTGTTTGCAAGAAGCATATGTAATCTTTCCTCTAATATCAAGGTGAAACCCTGTGAAAGACAAATTGGAATTTGCACTAAAATAATTATAATTTTATATTATATATAAAATTAGGTATGCAAATATAAATATATAATTCAGAGTTGTATATATATTTATATAAATGTTTATGCACTGTGTACAAATCCTACATGTATTTTATATAAATAATATATACGCATGTCATGTGTCACTAAACATTTGGCTTGTTCAAGTTGACGCATATCCCAATATTACTTTAGTTGTAATTTTGCTTAGTGTTTCCAGGAATACCACAGCTTTTATGTTAATTGCTTGCTATAACAACCAAAGAGGCATAATACCCAAAATTAAATCCCAAAGTCTTGAACAGCACCATAGGACGTTTGTGCAATTGCCTCAGCTGGCAGGGGAGGAAACCTGCCTTGCTTCCTTCAGATTTACTGCTCACAACAGAATTTGCAACTCACAGCTTAAGTCTCAGACAACGGGAAGAGCAGCATGTCGATGGCTTTCGTTTCATACCCTTTTCACGTCCCTCCAGAGCTTTCCTGCCAGGACTATCAGTGTCATGGTCAAGGACATATTTTCAACATACATACCCATTCCTGATTACTTCTTTGGTCTGATTTTTTTCATTTCTGCAGCTCTACCAGTCAAACAGAAAGGCTCTGAGGAAAGCTCATGTGTAACTATGTGTAAGTGCAAGCTTCGCTGTCACAGCTGACAGGGTAAGTACTTTCTGAGCTTTTTTTTCCCCTCCACTATCATCATCATTATCTTTTCATGCACCCTTTAAACACCAAACTCTGCTGAATAGACACTCTGTGACATCATCTTGATCACATATACACAAACTTCAAGCAAAAAAGACCAAAAACAAAGATAAAATGATAGCCTTTAGAGAATAAGCATAAGGCTAGAGGTAACTTCTTGAATGTCACAACAGAACAGAAGGCTTTTTTTGCTGTCTAGTTGGTTTCAGCATTTTTTTTAAATGATGCAGTACCATTATGGGCAAAAAAGGAACCACTGGTATCACTGTGACTACATGCAGGCACTTGCCACATACAAAAGACTCAATTGATTTTGATTTTAATTTCTCTTTTCTTTTACCACATGCACTCAAAACAAATAAACAAAGAAGCCAGATAAGTTACCTGAAAAAGAAATATGAAGACAATCATATTTGTGCAGGTATCTTCTAAATGCCACCAAAACAGGTTAACATTTAAGCTAGCTTTCAATTTCTTAATGTAATACTCCATTAAAAAACATGCTTAATTTTATCTTTCCATTTTCAGCAGAAACATTTTAAAACACCCATTTGACCTCAGTCTTTTCAACACAAAACCAGAGTATTAAACTAGGAGAACAAAGTGAAATTAATTGAAAGTTATTGTAAGTCCAGAATGAAAAACACAACCTTAATAAAACCCTGCTAGAGTCAGTCAGACCATTGAGATTTTTGAGAGTTCTCTCTTTAAAAATAAAAAAGTCCATTAAATGACGAGCAGTCTATGATCATAAAAGAAATCTCTCATATAAAGGTAGAAAAAAATCCTTATTATAAAATCCACAGAGAAGAAAGATTTTGGGGCCTCCAACTTGAGTATTTTCTAAACAGCCTTCTTCAATGGAGTTAGGCTGGAAAAAAAGATACGTAGCCATGGTTGACCACTCCTTGCAATGTTAAACAACATGATGAAACCTCATTTCTCTGACCTGACATAGAGACTTTTGCCTACTCTTACAAAGAGTAGGCAAACTCAAGCAGAAACTTTAAGCAGAAAAAACAGCATGGGTTTATTTTCAGAGCAGAACAAGACAGTATTCCTGACAGTGCCACTTGCCTCAAAGGTTCTGATTCGCACAAGTGACACCAACTGGCCGCAGAAAATCAATTTTCTATCCAAGATAAAAGGACAACGAACAGAAACCTGAAGCAAAGGAACAACCTACAGTCTCTGGGCAGCCTCACCACACAGAGCTATATTTAAGAGTGGTTTGCCACCATCAAGTTTATAAAGATTCTCTCATCTGTAGCTTCCAACGTTAACCAGGAAAACTTTACCCTCGGTCCCATGTTCCTGCAAACTTTGAAAGAAAACAAACTAATCAAGAAACAGAAAACTTGGCGTTCAATGACAAAAGGAATTTCCACAAGGCTATAAAAAAATCTACACCAGCTTTTAAGAAAAACACTGCATACAGAAATATTGCACATTTAAATATCGACACCCAATTATTTACTGCAATTTTCTCCAATGTAGATTCTTTTTAAATAATATATTTTAATAGAGGTATTATATATATAGATAGATGGATGGCTTGGGCACAAGACAAAATAATTCATAATGGTTGTCGTAAATATGTGCTCACACCTGCATATCCCTTAACTTCAGTCCAGGCACAATCACTATCTAGTTCTCTTTCCTCTACCTTATTGCCTTTTCTTTTCCCCCCCCCTCCTATTTGATGCCCTAAACCTAACGAAACTTCCCTCTTTGGGAACTTTCTCTCTTTGGGGGAGAAAAAAATAATAATAAATGACAGGAAAAAAAAAAAAGAAAAAGAAACACCACTCTGGGCAGTGCAAACTGCAAACTGCTCTAGAATCTGTCCTGCCTGCACGTTTCATTCGTGTCCTCTCACATATTTGCATATCCTGTTCACAGTGTACACTTTCAAGAGCAGAATCTGTGTTTCACACCGTGAAGTTCCCAGCCTAAAAGTGCTGTAACAATAGCTGGTCTCACAATACTTCCTTAATAGTAATAACACTCTGTTCCACAGAGTGATTTCTTTTTTTTTTTTTTTTTTTTTTTTT